GAGAGAGAGAGAGAGAGAGAGAGAGAGAGAGAGAGAGAGTTAGCTCTATGGCTTCATACCTGAGATTTTTCGGAAGCCCAGTAAGGATCCACGCTTCCAATAATGAGTGCCTACTCGTTCTGACCATGGCACGTGGGATTATAGAAAAGGAATTCAAGCTCCCTTTGTCCTGTCATTCTATATCCACAGTTTAACTTTGACAGTCTGGGCAAGATTGTTTTTTTTAGTCTAAATTTCCTTGTTCATTGATCTTCCATTCAAAAATGCAAAGTAATATTTTATTCCTCTCAGTCTGTATCTCAAGGTTTTTTTGGAGAATGGGGGCGGGGATGGATCTGACCTTCTCATCCTTCGCCATAGATTCTAACTGTCAACTAATATGATGTAAGAAGCTTCATGATAAGAATTTCTCTTTCCACAAAGGTGACATCTCATTATGATATCAAATAAACTAAAACAAGTAGTGTCCATGCTTCTGATGTGGTCTCTGACCACACCTGTGCCCCAAGAAATATTACCATAAGGTAACTGTCTTGGGAGAGTGTGTCCTCCTCTGATGGTGGACCCTGTGTTGCCTGACATTGATAACATGCTTCAGGTAAACAGTAAACATGTAACTTAACATTATAACATTTTATGTTTCCAAACCTAGGCAGTCCTGCCCTAGCAGAAGTAAGATTTCCCTTCTGTGTGACAAGCAAGGTGAGATTGGTGGGGTATCATGGGATGTGACATTAATTGTGCTAGCTCCTGGGAAACAGGATCATTTACGGATCACAGCCAGAGCTCAGCATCTTCTTGGATTTGGAAATGAATCATGGACTATGATTTCTGATCCTTGCTAGACTGTGGTCGCCGCCCTGCTGCCCGAATGAACAAGAGGATCCTTGGGGGTCGGACTAGTCGTCCCGGAAGGTGGCCGTGGCAGTGCTCTCTGCAGAGTGAACCCAGTGGACATATCTGTGGCTGTGTCCTCATTGCCAGGAAGTGGGTTCTGACAGTTGCCCATTGCTTTGAAGGGTAGGTTGCAATGTTTCATTTTACATTTCCCTGGATCTTACCATTTGTCACTTAGGAAGTCCCAGTGGACTTCCTAACTCCACTATGTATGTAGTAACTCCTTGAAGTAGTTTCAACTCAAATAAAGCCATTCTTCCTCCCAGGAGAATGGGAGGAATCTTTATTTGTAGAGCTCTTTGTGCCCTGCTGGGCTTCCACTCACTTATGTCCAAAAGCTATATGGTGCTTGAAATGTATATGCTGAGGAGGGAGGAAAACCAAGAGGTTCAGAAGACTTATTTCTCAGCCATTGCTGCTCGGCTTCCGTTCTGCACATCTTAAGTGTATTATACGCATGCGCATACACGTGGAAATGGTTTGTTTGGAAGCTACCTGAGGTTTGGATGGACAACGTATAGGCAGTTGGGAAGCAGGACTAAAGGTACAGTATTTGTGTTAGGTTTCTCAAAGATGCAGAACCAAATCTCTGTCGGAACAGTATCTTCCCCGTGGATTTGTGTGTGCAGAAAGTGAGTCTATTTAAAGCCTTAGGAACCATGCTTGGCAACAGCTAGTAAGACTGAAAAAAAGTGTATATATCTTTAGAAAAAAAAAACACTGCTGCACATTGCGAGAGCTCTCCATTTACTTGGATTTGGAAATGAATCATGCACTATGATTGGCATTATGGTCTGTGCAGACGTGTGGTTTGCTAGCTTTATTCAGCCTCTCCCATGCTTCCTTTCTCTCACTTCCCCATCATTCTGAAGGTAACTCTTGTTCCAGCCTGATGAAGATCTCTCCATGGCTCCAAATACATCCAGCTGTTCACATAGTGTTGCTGTTGATTTCTACAACTGGAAATCACACTTTGTCCATCATCAATGCTTTTCCCTTTTGGTAATATACCATGGTCATCCCTCTAGGTCAGTTCTGATAGTGCTAACATATGCTTTGAAAGCTAAGTACTATTCTGTATAGACTTGCCATGAATTTTTCTATAAGTCATCAGTTGATGACCATTTGAGATAGTTTCAACTTGCTGTTATTATAACACTGCTGAGGTAAAACTCTTCTTGTGTAATTCTAGCATCCTATAGGTGCTATTGCTTCTAGGGAAGGCTGAGAAAAGGCTCAGCTCTATATAGGGATTACAGACATGGATACTTGCTTTGGCCCTTGAGGAGCTAGGTAGGAAGACAGATTTTTTTTTTATTTTAGTAATTTTATTTGGGATTATACCATAGTCACATAATTTCCTCCCTCCCTTTTCTATGTCGCTAGAGTCACTCATGTACCAATCTTGTTCTCTTTCAAATTCATGGCTTCTTTTCCTTTTGATGTTATTACACATATATGTGTATATCCTTAAATATATAAATACAATTTGTTTATTCTACTATGTTACCTGTTATTTCGGTGTGAGTCTTCATGGGTGTGACTTCCATGACATTTCTAGGAGATGCAATTTCATAGAAAACTCCTTGATTCTCTGGCTCTTACAATCTGTCTACTGCCGTTTCTGCAGTGATCCCTGACCCTTAGGAGAATGTGATTTGTCACAGATGTATCAGTTGAGACTGGGCTCCACAACTCTGTGTTTGATTGGTTACAGTTTTCTGTAATGGTCCCTGTCAGTTGCAAAGAGAAGTTTCCTTAATGAGATGTGAGGAATAAACTCAATTGTGGGCACAAGAACAAATACTTAGAATGTAGTTAGGGATTGTACTGGTTTAGAAAAGTGGTGACTGTAAGTTCTCCTCCGAGATCTATGGCTTCACCAGTCCTAGATAGGTCCTGGCTAGAGTTCTAGCTCCAGACATAATTTCTTTTTTTGTTGAATGGATCTTAAGATCAATTAGAGAGCTGTTGGGTACTGCTATTGTATGTGTACTACTACTATGCCCTGAAGGCTATAGTCCCATACTGATTATCACTGTGGTTCACAGGAATGAAGTGCCTTTGATTTCATTCCACCTTTAGAAGCTCGCTTGACATTATATTATATCTGCGTGACATTATATATTATATCTGATATTATAAAAGCTAATAGTTCAAGTCAGATCCAATACAGAGGCCTGTAAGTATATCTGAAGTGTATGATCCTCCACCTCTGGGAGTTAACCAAGGGCAATAGCCAGAGCCTCTGATGTTTGGGGAGTCTCTTGGATAATTCCAATCAACAAAGGACACAGACATTTAAATATATATTCTGAATATGTGACAAATGGTGACAAATGAAAAAAATGTGATAACTTTTGATCTCTCTAGTGGGAAAAAATAATATGTATCAAATCAGTACCTTTTCTTGAGAAGTTTCATATGTGAGACCCAGAATGATCCAGAGTATGTGGAGAAACACACTGTGATGTTCTTGTTCTTACCAAATGTTCTCAGATATCTTTTACAGTTCTGACTTGTAGCCCACAAAAAGCAGGAGATTATTCTAGCAAAGTGCATTCATCAAAGGTGATTACCTAAATGAATCCATGGCTTTTCAAAGGAGCAACAGTGTTTAATGTGCTTATTAATTAAAGTTTATGGGCTGCTTTTGCTATTCCCACATGTGGTATCAAAGTTTCCTCTCGCACTGGAGGACCTATACAATGAGGAAGGAAACTTTTAAGAAGGAATAAGTGTGTGTTTATAGTCCATGACATAGAAAAGATACCAAAGATCTTCAAGAAATTTTGTAGAATCCCAAATTTAACGGTGCTGTCAAGAAGGGCCTGCTCCTCCAAATGAGGTTAGAAATTGCCCAACTTCAATTAAGTCCATTTTGATTGCGAAGTCATAACCTAATTCTGTTTTATGGTCTCACAAGTGGCACTGCTGGCTTTTCAGAACTTTTAATTTTAAGGCCTATTCTCTGCCGGGGCCATCAATTGCTGCAATTATTGGGATTTACTTCATATCCTGATCCGTATTTTGGCAAGGCATAATACGATCCATCTGTGAGCCTTTTCCTCCTGTCTCTTTTAATTATATTGGTGGGAAAGGAGAGACAATTTGCTTTGCATTTCCATGGAGAGGTATTTAAAGATACCAAACAAAAATTAAAACCATGAGATACTAAGTTGACCAGCTAGAGCTCCATATTCCTCAATACCGATTCAACTTCAAAGGTTCTAAGGAGGAAAAGACTTTGACATTCAGAGATAATTTAACAAGCAATGTCCTCCCTTCCTTCACCCTTGAAGGACTGAAGGATGAACTTCCTGGGCCAGGCCATAGTGAGTAACTATCAAAGCATCTAATTCCTTTCCTGGAAGCTTGTATGGAAAGCTGCCATCCTGCCCATATCTTTAATCCTGTTATTTCACACGTGTCTTGATTTCTACCACACCATTCAGTCCCAAATTTTGGCTGTGTGTTTGCATTTCTGCCCATTTTACCTAGCTTCCTTTCTCTCCTTACAACTCTTATAGTCCCATAGGTACATCACATCTGTTCTTTGACAAGACCTTCAGCATTCTCATCCCTGAATCTTCCAGTCAGATCAGGAAGAACTCCAAGGTGACGAACACATTTTTTTTTTTAATGTTTGCCTTCGTGTACTTAAGAACAGAGAACAGACACTCACAAATAACTACATAAATGAATAAATAAATATTTGTGTTATGTCTGACTTTCAACATCAACTGGGTCTTTAATAATCCCTGAGTATCTTTCCATCTAAGTTGGGAAAGTTCTCTTATTTGTCACAGAACAAAGCATGCCCTTAGTGTCTCAACTCTGCTGATCTGACAGTTTCATAATTCACTCAGAAAGGGAATTACTGAGGGCTGAGCTGTGTCCTTAGGGTTACTCCTTCATCTTGGTGCTTATGAACAAGGTCAACCATTCATAGTTTATTTTTCCGTCTCATCTTCTGGCATGATTTGATACATTCCCATGAGTAAAAATGTTCATGAACACACCACTTCTCATGTTTGGAACCACACTTCCTTTGTGGTACTATTCTTAGTGTTACTTAAGTGTAAGCTAATGTGGCTTTAAAAAACCCCTGGTGCCTGGAACCTGGCTCCATGCTCCCCTCTGCTCTGTGACCTCTAGAGACACTCCTTTCCATTAATATATATATATATATATATAATAGTTGGCCTGAATTATCAATCTCCACAGTTTCTGGAACTTCTAACACTAAAATGCTCCCCTTCTGCTTTTAATTTTCGATGAAAAGAAAACTCTAGGCAAATTAAATTTGTCAAAGTTGAATTAGGAAAAGAATGACTGTGCAGTAGGAAGCCTTCAGAACAGAATTGACAGGCTTACCACTTCCGGTGTTGTCATTTCCTGTTCCAGTACAGTAAACCTGGGACAGAAAGGTTAGCCATTGTTAGAGGATATCATGCACCCAGTTCCTAACCAAGTTCATGTCAAATGTATGATTAGGAACCTCAAATGAGCATCTAACCAACGCGATGGACACTTTCACAGTGAAGACAGTTTTCACCCTAAGAGACAGTTAATTATTTTCCAGCTTTTGTCTCAACAAATCATCGCCCTCTACTGATCTCATTTCACGCATCATGATATAGATGCTGTCCTATCATTCATCACATCTTAACCCCTTGTTCCTAAACTTTCTTTGTATCTTTGGTCACATTTCTTATTTTGTCTTTCACTGTGGTGGAAGATATTCCCCTCCATTAAGAACAATCACGTCCCTTCATAGACTTTACCCCTCACAACCTCATTTCTTCTCTGCATCAGTTGGTCCCTGGGAGCTGAATGGATCCTCTCCCATTGGTGCCTTAATATCACTGATGTAAAACGCCCTCTCTTTGCTTTACTTCCGTCTTCGACTTCTGCTCCATGTTGATTGCTGTTCACTGGGAGATACTTAAAACGTCTACAATAGTTACCCTCTCCATGCCTATCTCAGTATCTCCTTAGCCTGTGGTAGCTGGGCTGTCCTCAAGGCCAGCAAAGAAACAAGGCTTACTGGAGTTTGGTAATGACTTCCACCTTGTCAAACCCAGTAGTGAGTTTTCAGCTTCTGCTCAACGGAATGTCCC